TGCTCCCAGGAGAATATCCACGGTTAGGGCAGAATGCAAAGCCCATGGCCCCTTCTTAACATGACTCCCCATCAATCACTCCCACAACCACGTATTGTTAATACCAATAGCTAGCAACTGCTGAGCTCTTACTGTGTGTGGGCCAGGCAGTGTGCAAAGAGTCATTACAAGCTTGATCTCTTTGGATACTCATATCTCTTTGAGCTGGGCTCCCCGTTTTGTGAATGAAGAAACAGAGACTACCCAAGGTCAAGCAGCTATTCCAGGGGCAGAGGCAGGATTTGACCCCAGGTCTGTCAGAGCCTGTGTCCCCAAGCACTGCACCATTCTGCCCCTGGTGGGCATCTACCATTTTAGACCCTTGATAGGTGATAGGGATCCCAAGATAGGTGAGATTAGGTCCTCATTCTCAAGGAGCTGGATATGTGGGCAACAGTTATGATCTGTGTGCACACAGGAGGAGCCCTGGTGAAGCAGTGGTTAAATGCTCAGGTGCTAACCGAGGTTGGTGGTTCAAACCAACCAGCTGCTCCATGGGAGAAAGATGGCAGCAGTCTGCTTCGTAAAGATTACAGCCTTGGAAATCCTATGGGCAGGGGCATAGCGAGGGTAACTAGTGCCCAGGGGCAACCTCTAAGTTGCACTCCTCCCCAGTTTCAAGAGGAATAAACATTGATAGTGGCATCGGCAGAAACACCTTCCCCTCTCTTGAACAGCTGCCTCAGTCAGGCACCTTTCACATTTGTGGCACCTCCGAATGTCATTCTGTGCCTTGTCTGGCACCCTTTGGACTTGCGCCAGGGGGCAAGTGCCCCCCTCTGCTCCCCTCCCTGCCTATGGAGTAGTTCTACTTTGTCCTATAGCGTTGCTGTGAGTCGGAATCAACTCAACAGCAACAGGTTTGGTCTCGTTTTTTCCTTCCATTACACCCAGGACAGGCATCATCATTTTATCCCTTAGAGTCTGTCTTCCCCGTTACCCTGAGAGTGCCTTGAGTTTAAATATTGCAAAGTACTCATATTTCCATACCCAGTGCCTGGTACTAGGTAAAAGCTGGATAAATATTTTTGAATTGAATTGAGTCTTCTACCTTGAGCCCCTCCTCACCCCAGTTATCTCTATAATCAGCTTGACTTCTCTTTGGAACTTGCCTGTTCTAAAAAGCTACAACCATAGATGGACATAGAAATAAAGTAGAAATAAAAATAGACATAAGAATAGAAATGATGGTGTCTTAGTTTCCTAGTGTTGCTATAACAGAAATACCACAAGTGGGTGCCTTTAAAGAACAGAAGTTAAGTGTCTCACAGTTCTGGAGGCTAAAAGTTCCAATCAGGGTCTCAGCTGTGTTGACTCCTCCTTGGTGGCAGCCCCCGGCATTTCTTGGTTCCTTAGCTTGTAGAGAATCTTCACATGGCATCATGTTCTCCCATGTGTGTGCTTCTGTGTCTAATCTGCCCTTTTTATAACTCAGAAGTGATTATGTTTTGGACACACTCTACACTGGTATGGGCTCATTAACGTAACAAAGAAACCTTATTTCCAAACAGGATCACATCCACAGGTATAGAGTTCAGGATTCCAACACATATTTTGGGTAGGTGCAGTTCGATCCATAACTAGTTGCCTTCAAGTCAACTCCACCTCATGACGACCCAATAAGTGTCAGAGTAGAATTGTGCTCCATAGGGTTTTCAATAGCTAGAATTTTCAGAAGTAGATCACCAGGCTTTTCTTCTGAGGCACCTCTGGGTGAATTTGAACCGTCAACCTTTTGTTTAGCAAACAGGTGCTTCAAATCAGTTTTTGACGGGATGGTGACATTTGCAAATTCAACTTAATTCTTCAATTATTTGAGTGAGTACTTGAAGTAGTTATCTCTCATTTTTCATATGTAATATGGGGGTAATAATGCTGCCTACCTCACAGGGTTCTGTGACGATTAAATGAAATAATGTATGTAAGGCCCTTGGCAACATGCCTGATAGTAAGTACAGTAAAGGGAAGTGCACGGCCAGGGCCAGGGTGAGATAAGTGAGGCCCTCACCTCAGGTGCAAAATGTAAGGAGGTGTCAAAAACCAAGAAATCAAAATAAATAAAATGGTAGTGCAATGACTCATTAACAAGATAAAAAATAAATCGATAAAGGCAGGATTCAACTCTGCACTTACAGTACCCTGCCTCACTCTTCTCACCACAATCCTGGCCCTGTTGGATGCTGTCTTTATTTGAAAGGTAGTATTGTCATGATTGTTGTTTTAAAGCACTGTAAAAGATGTTCTAGAGAAATACAGGCAGAGGGAAAACCTTCCAAGGGGTTCCAATCTAACAGCAATACCAGTTGCCTTCAAGTCGACTCCAGTTCATTGCGACCCCAATATGCATCAGAGTAAAACTGTGCTCAGTAGGGTTTTCCTTGGCTGATTTTTTGGAAGTAGATCGCCAGGTCTTTCTTGAACTTAAACCTCCAATCTTTTAGTTATCAGTTGTTTTAACCATTTGCACCACCCAGGGACTCCAAAAGGGAACACAGGGGATAGCAAAACCACAGAGGTGGGAAAAGGGCAAGAGATATGTCCTACTTCCATCTGGCATGGCCAGCCCCGCCCCACCTCTCCTGGACAACTTCCATTGGTCCATCATGGCCTAGAATTTATCAAACTGCATTGTGATTGGCTGTTTTCTTCTACTGTTAAACTGTAAGCTCCTTGAGGGTAGGAGCTTTGTCCTGTTTCTACTGGGTCATTAATGGCTAGCCCTGAACATGTTCAGTAAGTGTTTTGATGGGAGAAAGGCGAAGTAATGAGTTGTCTCATATGCTTAGAACCTTAAGATGTGTAAAATGAAGTGGTAGAAGGTGAAACTGAACAATTAAAAAGGTTGGAGTCAGATTTACCAAATGAGGAGTTTAGATTTCATTTGCTTAGCAATAGGGAGTCACTAAGATATTTTGGGGAAGGTCACCCTGATGCCAGATGCTAGCCAAATGAAAAGGATGGAATGGATAGGTGAGAGATGGGAGACAGGGAGATCAGGTAAAATGTTGCAGCAATAGTCCAGGCAAAACCTGATAAGAACCTAATCAAAAACAGTACCCCATACCCTGTTGCCATCAATTCCGACTTATAGTGACCCTATAGGACAGAGCAGAACTGCACCATAGGGTTTCCAAGACTGTTAATCTTTACAGAAGCAGACTGCCACATCTTTCTCCTGCAGAGCAGCTGACCTTTCTGTTAGCCACCAAGCACTTAATCACTGCACCACCAGGGCTCCTGAGGGATAAGAGATATAATAGACCAAGAATGTAAAGGACTTGATAGCTTAGAAGATGTTTAGAATACTTTAAACTTTATTAATCCTTGCTCTTCTGGTGTTTGGTTAAGTTTTTAAGCAGCTGTGTCTTATTAATTATGTTTCACTTGAGCTAATATTAAATTGACTTACATGCATTAAATACACTTGTGGGGAGGCAGAATAATGGACCCCCAAAGATGTCCACATGCCGGGAACCTGTTAATATGTTCAGTTACATGGCAAAGAGGAATTAAGGTTGAAGACAGAACTAAGGTTGATTAAAATTGATTTAAGATAGGAAGATTATCAGGGATTATCCATGTGAGCCCAGTGTAATGACAGGGGTCCTTGTAAGTGGAAGAGGGAGGCTGAAGAGAAAGAACCAATGAGATGGCAGCGTGAGAGGGACTCAGCCTGACATTGCTGGCTTTGAAGATGGCGGAAAGACTCATGAACCAAGGAATGTGGGTGGCTTTAGAAGCTGGAAAAGGCAAGGAAACAGATTCTCCCCTAGAGGCTCCAGAAGGCCTAGGGGAGCCTGCCAACACCTTGATTTTAGCCCGATGAGACTCATTTTGGACTTTGATCTCCAAATACATAAGATAATAATAAACTTGTGTTGTTTTAAGCCACTACGTTTGTGCTAATTTGTTAGAGCAGCAATAGGAAACCAATACAGCATGCTGCTAGAGGGCTGGGGGTCGCATGCTGGTGGCCCATCCTGGTAGCAAATTCTGCTACAAATGAGCCACAGAGTGGGTGCTAAAGAGTTGACCATTTATTTCAAAAACCTTTCATTGTCAGCCCTGAAATCAGGGGTGGATTATCCAATAGGCAAGGTAAGCACAGCATTTACCTTGCTTACAGATCATCTGTAGTGAATGATTTCCCATTTTTCACCACATCAAAGATTCTGCTTCTAGGTATGGCAGGCATCTGTCTCTCCCAACCCCACAGCGCCTTCCTAGAGAATCAAAGGCTCTTTTCAAATTTACAGTCGCTGTCAGAGGTGGATGACCCAGCAAGCAAGGTAAGCTTGTGCTTACTTGTGCTTACTTAATAACCTGTAGTGAACAATTTCGCTACAGATGATCTGATAAGCAAGGTAAGCACTGTGCTTACTTTGTCTATTGGATAATCTGCCCCTGTCTGAAATGACCTGTCACTGGGCTGGAAAGTCATCTATCTCAAGCTCGAAAACTTGGCATCATTATTTACTCCCCTTTTGAATTTCTTTTTTATCCCTACGTTGTCCCATCATTCAGGAAATAGGATTTATTTGCACAGATTCCCTCTACCAACAGTAATCGAGTGAGCCATAGTTTTTCTCCTTTAAACACAACAGGTGCACACAGGTAAGTCATGAAGGTATTCAAAGATGAAGCAACTAATTTGAAAACAGAGGAAGGAACCCCAATACACGTGATATTCCGGGTATGCCTTATATGCATTATCTCATTTAACTCAATAGAAATTCTGTGAGGTAGGCACCATCATCCACATTTTATACATAAAAAAGCTGAGACTAATAAAAGGAAGATGAATCCAAGATCCAAACCAGGTCTGTATGACTTCAAACCTGTGGTTCTTCCCACATCATCGTGCAGATTTTCAGTAAATACTATCAGAAAACATTACCCTTCCAGAATATTCGGAAGAAGTCTATACCAGGTAATGAAAAACCCCCACTTTCTATCTGCAGCGTGCAACTGTGTGCATGGAGTGTGCAACAGTGGAATAGATGGCGATGGGACCTGTGAGTGCTACTCTGCATACACTGGCACCAACTGTAATAAGCGTAAGTGCCACTGTTTTCCTTAATGCCACCCCCAGATCAAATAGGCAAACATGTATGCATTTCAATTTTGTATTCATATACTGGGGCTCTACATGGGTGAGATATCATAGAATGCTTTGCCAAAGGAAACCAAATATGAAAAAGAGAGGGAAGAAGAAAAGAGGAGGGAAGGGAAAGGAAAGGAAGGATACAGAAGCATGGGGTGTCTGTACGGAAGAGCTGCAGGGAGGTGGTCACTGGTCCAGGCAGAAGATGCCAGGTGTCTTAGTTATCTAGTGCTTCTATAACAGAAATTCCACAAGTGGATGGCTTTAACAAAGAGAAGTTTATTTCCTCACAGTAAAGTAGGCTAAAATTTCAAATTCAGGGTGTCAGCTTCAGGGGAAAGCTTTCTCTCTCTGTTGGCCTTCTCATCAATATTTGCCTGGACTAGGAGCTTCTCCGTGCAGGGACCCCAGGTCCAAGGGACACGCTCTGCTCCTGACACTGCTTTCTTGGTGGTATGAGGTTCCCAACTCTCTGCTTGCTTCCCTTTCCTACTATCTCTTGTAAGATAAAAGGTGGTGCAGGCCACACCCCAGGGAAACTCCCTTTACATTGGATCAGGGATGTGACCTTAGTAAGGGTGTAACAATCCCACCCTAATCCTCTTTAATATAAAATTACAATCACAAAATGGAAGACAACCATACAATACTGGGAATCATGGCCAGCCAAATTGATACACACATTTTTTGGGGGGCATAATTCAATCCATGACACGAGGTTGCCGAGGAATTGCGTACTCTGTGTGCACAGCTGGAGCAGAGCATCACTGGATGGCCTCCTGTACCCACATCACTGACAGACTATGCAGCTGTAGCAAACAAACATCCAAGAAGTTCAGTACTGTACACCAGAACCGGGAAAAGGAGCCCCTTCCTCCTGCAATGGCTCTCTTTCACCCTCTACTGGCATAATTTAACATCTCTTTGTGAAGGAGAAATGCTTAAAGAGTCCAATTCATTATTGCAGAGCACACACTGCGGGTGAATTGGAACTGAGAGGTACAAACATTAAGAGATTGGTCATTCTGCCTGTGACAGTAGCCTCACTTAATTTAACCTCTAGATTTTACCTTCCTGATCTGTAAAATGAAGGGATTGTACAAGATTCAAATTCAACAAATTCAAGCTCATTTTATTGAAAGATGCAAAAAATCAGTTGCCGTCAATCAATTCCAACTCATGGCAACCCCATGTGTGTCAGAGCAGAACTGTGCTCCATAGAGTTCTCAATGATTGTTTTTCCACAAATAGATTGCCAGGCCTTTCTTCCAAGGTGCCTCTGGGTGAACTTGAACAGCCAACCTTTTAATTAGCAGCTGAGCACATTAACCTTTGCACCACCCAGGGACTCCAAATAGATTACATAATCTATTTAATAATCTATATATAATTGTGGTGATTATGTTTCTCTGACTGAACCATGACTGACACAATTTAGTATTGAGAATCTTAAGGGGGAATTCTCTGAATGGGTTCTGGATTTTCTAGAATTGGTTTTCTAATCTGATTAGATTTAAAGGCACTAAGGGCCCTGTTCCCAGAGGTAAAGGGGGCACTGGTATTCCACGGTCAGGGCTTGGAACCAGTTCGTTCCAGTTCAAACCACTGCTGAGAATTTGCATTTCCACCTCAGATATACTGAATAAGAATCTACATTTTAACAAGATCCCTAGATGATTCTTATGCATAATAAACTTTGAAAACTACTGCTCTACTAGTGGCTCTCAGAATTTGTGTCCCTAACCAGTAGCATTAAGCATCGCCTGGGAACTTGTTAGAAATGCAAATTCTCAGCAGCGGTCTGAACTGGAATGAGCTAGTTTGAAGCTCTGTCCTTGGCGTGCAGTGACAAAACAATTACTCATATTGTAACCTGCAGATAGAAGGCAGTGCTCTGGATGACCAAGTATTTTCTGTCATAAAACACTTTAGGGAAAAGGAGTATAATGAGGTCGGTTGTTCTAACTGTGCTGGAGGACTTGGAGAAAGCTAATAATGAGCTCAGGGCTTTAAGTTCCCAGTTCACGGGCTCCATAAGAAATGAAATCCTTATCTCCTATAGCTGTCGGGCCAAGATTTCTGAACACCAGACCCCAAATCTAATCCTGCAGGTGGCTGAATTACAATGCATATCAAATTTCAGACCTCTCAGGGTCTCTTCTGTTAAAGTTAGGGCATTGATTGATGTACTAGTTTCCTATTGCTGCTATAGCAAACTTAGTGGCTTAAAACAACACATATTTATTATCTTATAGTTCTGGAGATCAAAAGTAAAAAATCAGGTCCAGAAAAGCAGCACAAAACTTCCATTCAATATTGCATCAGTGTGAATTAGTCACATGACACCCAGCTGAGTGCAAACGGGGTGGAAGATGTAATCCTGGAGGGGCAACCACTTCCCAGCACCAGTTCTACATTATGTAGGAAATGGGTGGTGGGGTGGGGGGACATTCTTTATGAATTTTTGGTTCAAGTAGCCATTTTGGAGAGACATTCTCCATGGGTTTCTCATGTTTCTGCATGTCTAGAGGGCAAGGAACTAATTGCCCTTTGTTCCAAACTATCTTTTCAAGGGTACTGTAAAGCCAACAGCCTTGGAAGACAGAGATAGTGTCTTTCTCTGGAGCAAAGGGCAGGCATGCCTCTGCCTATGCCAATTATTGATGTGTTGTCTCTCAGTTCTAAGTTCACCCTTTTCCCTGCTCTGTGATAATAGAGTTGGGCTTTTTAAATGTTTCTCCTTTGCCAGCCAGCAAGACGGGAAGCCTTGTCAGTAGAGGGTGCTGGAGGGACACTGGAGAATGAAGTGGTTTTCTCTTGCTGATTCCAGGTTGCCTTGCTCTCCATTCAAGGCTTCTGAAGAACATGCTTCTTCTCTAGGGCTAGATTCCTGCGGGGCTCAGATATCTCCAGCATTTGGCCGCTACTTTCTCCAGTGCTTGACTCAGGCAGTGGAAACACAGCCAGGAGCCTAAAAAACATAGGTCTATGCCTCTCCTCAGCCCTACACACACCAAAAACCCTGCAGGACGGGCCATGTAGGGAGCTGGCCATCCAACCTTCATTCCACACAACTGGCCTGGAGCTACCCAAGTCTAAGCCATACACAGAAGTACACCATACTCCTTAGAGGGTGGCCTCTTTAACTCCTGGTTCCAGTAGTGACCAGTGGTCATCAGCTTCCTCTGACACTCAGTGAGTTCCAAGGCTTGACATTTCCCTATGGACAACCTTCCCCAGCATCCAAGAGGACATATTTTCAACAAATCCCACTATCAAGGCACCTCAGCAACTTCTCCACCATCCAGTGAGCTAAGGCATCTGACTCTCAGCTATGGACGGGGAGACTTCTACCTTTGGTACTTATCTTAGTCCTAAAAGGTAGTGAGTACTCCTTATATCCGCTAATACTTTTCTCTTTAGAATTTCTTTAACTCTCACTGGCCAATCCCCCATTATTCCAATCCTGTATTCATAATTCTTAGTTCTTTATATCAAACTTTCCCTGTTCAAATTAGTGTATGGTTTCTGTCTCCTGCTTGGGCCCTGATTAATACACTGCCCATTATAAAATAAGTCAGAGTCCCTAATGTCATGGATTGAATTGTATCCCCTAAAAACATCTGTCAACTTGGCTAGGCCATGATTCCCAGTATTGTGATTGTCCACCATTTTGTCATCTGATATGATTTTCCTATGTGTTGTAAATCCTATCTCTATGATGTTAATGAAGTGGGATTAGAGGCAGTTATGTTAATAGGGAAGGACTCAATCTACAAAATTAGGTTGAGTCTAAAGCCAGTCTCTTTTGAGATATAAAACAGAGAAATGAACAGAGAGACATGGGGACTTCATACCACCAAGCAAGCAGCACCAAGAGCAGAGCGCGTCCTTTGGATCCAGGGTTCCTGCGCAGAGAAGCTTCTAGACTACGGGAAGATTGATGACAAGGACCTTCCTCTAGATCCGACAGAGAGAGAAAGACTTCCCCTGGAGCTGAAGCCCTGAGTTTAGACTTCTAACCTCCTAGAACGTGAGAGAATAAACTTCTGTTTGTTGAAGCCATCCATTTGTGGTATTTCTTTTATAGCAGCACTGGCTAGCTAAGACACCTAAGCTCAGGGTTCCTCTCCTATAATGCAATCCACTGTGTCTTCAAGTGTCATCTGGCCCTCTTCACATTGACCTGTAGGAATTGGGACTTGGGGGAACTGGTACAAAAAATGATGATACTCTGGATACCGTATACTGCTGTGAGTAATGAACTGTCCTTCATCTCTGACCCAGGAGTTTTCTATCTTTTACCAACATCCATGAAACTGTATCGGTCTAACTTGTTAACTTTGCAAATAGGATAAAACCTCAGATCCTTCACCATTCTTGACAGCCACCTCTGTAACATCTATATTGTTAAATATTATGTGGTTATTAGGGATTAAGATAGCCCCTATAAGACTTGCATAATATATTGTTAAATTAAAAATCAAGTTGCTAAACACT